GTTGTACGTCAAGTTAGGTCAAATGTTTTCTTACTTAACTTACTTATTTAAATTACTTGTTATGATTCCAGCTCTCACGGCGGTGCTGTGTTGTTTATTTATGTCGCTTGACTGTTTTCTCTCTCAGTTGTCTTCCTATGTCAGCTGTTTATTGCCGCTGTTCGGCTGGTGGTCTCTTTGTTTTTTTGTTTTGTCTGTTTGTTTTTCTCCGCCCCAAGCCCCCGTCCCCCTTCTCTTGCAGGTATTGTCCTTTCTCTGTGCTGTCTGTTTGTGCCCCCCCATGCCCATGTCTGCCCCCCTGTCCGACCCGGTGACAAATAAATTTAAATAAATAATAAAACAGACAAAAGGAGTATATAAACACAATATGGTATCCATCTCCTCGTACTCTATACCAGGCCGCTGAGCAGGACAGCTTTAAAAGAAAAAAAAGAAATTTTATTTAAGTCCCTCATCTTGTACTTTTCATCTCCTCCTGTCCTTCTGCTGCAGTGATGCTTTAGTTTCCCTGCCTGAGATCAATCTAATGGATCTCATCTTATATAACGTGTCATCTGTTTTTATTCTTTATACTTTAAACCGTGTACAACCTGATAATACTGTCAATAACTAGCCAATAGAGCTCGTCTGGATTTGAAAGAGAAGAGACAAAGACAAAGAAATTAAGGACAGAAGAAGAGGAAACAAGAGATTTATTGTTGCTGTGAGGTGAAAGGTTTGCTGTAGTGAAGTGTTTTGTCTAGACACATTATGTTGAGTGTAGTCAGCAGTGTGTGTATGTGTGTGTGCTGACAGCATGCTGAGGAATCACTACAGTTACTGCAGCGGCAGCAGGACGGCAGCCAGCGAGCGACAAAATACACACAGCAGCTGATTAAACTTTTCCTCAACTTCTGCAACATCACAAATTTTTTCTCAAGGCACTTTAGTTCACTTCTTGCCACGTGATGTCACTTCATACGACTTTATGTCTTCACGTGAAACTGTCGATATAGGTCGTTTGTGCATTATGACCTGTATTTAAGTTTGTTGTGCTAGCAAAGGAGAACATCGGGTGACGTATTATGAATAGCAATAAAATCCGTATAAGGAGGGAGAATAGGTCAAATTAACCTAACCAAATGGTTTTGGTATCTAAACCTAACCAAGGCGTTTTCGTGCCTAAACCTAATCAAGGGGTTTTGGTATCTAAACCTAACCAAGGGGTTTTGGTATCTAAACCTAACCAAGTGGTTTTGGTATCTAAACCTAACCAAGGGGTTTTGGTGCCTAAACCTAACCAAGGGGTTTTGGTATCTAAACCTAACCAAGTGGTTTTGGTATCTAAACCTAACCAAATGGTTTTGGTATCTAAACCTAACCAAGTGGTTTTCGTGCCTAAACCTAACCAAGGGGTTTTGGTGCCTAAACCTAACCAAGGGGTTTTGGTATCTAAACCTAACCAAGGGGTTTTCGTGCCTAAACCTAACCAAGGCGTTTTGGTATCTAAACCTAACCAAGGGGTTTTCGTGCCTAAACCTAACCAAGGGGTTTTGGTATCTAAACCTAACCAACGGGTTTTGGTGCCTAAACCTAACCAAGGGGTTTTGGTATCTAAACCTAACCAAGGCGTTTTCGTGCCTAAACCTAACCAAGGGGTTTTGGTATCTAAACCTAACCAAGGGGTTTTGGTATCTAAACCTAACCAAGTGGTTTTGGTATCTAAACCTAACCAAGGGGTTTTGGTGCCTAAACCTAACCAAGGGGTTTTGGTATCTAAACCTAACCAAGTGGTTTTGGTATCTAAACCTAACCAAGTGGTTTTCGGGCCTAAACCTAACCAAGGGGTTTTGGTATCTAAACCTAACCAAGGGGTTTTCGTGCCTAAACCTAACCAAGGGGTGTTGGTGCCTAAACCTAACCAAGGGGTTTTGGTATCTAAACCTAACCAAGGCGTTTTCGTACCTAAACCTAACCAAGGGGTTTTGGTGCCTAAACCTAACCAAGGGGTTTTGGTATCTAAACCTAACCAAGGGGTTTTGGTATCTAAACCTAATCAAGGGGTTTTGGTGCCTAAACCTAACCAAGGGGTTTTGGTATCTAAACCTAACCAAGTGCTTTTGGTATCTAAACCTAACCAAGGGGTTTTGGTATCCAACCCTAACCAAGGGGTTTTGGTATCTAAACCTAACCAAGTGGTTTTCGTGCCTAAACCTAACCAAGGGGTTTTGGTGCCTAAACCTAACCAAGGGGTTTTCGTGCCTAAACCTAACAGAGGGGTTTTGGTATCTAAACCTAACCAAGTGGTTTTGGTATCTAAACCTAACCAAATGGTTTTGGTATCTAAACCTAACCAAGGGGTTTTCGTGCCTAAACCTAACCAAGGGGTTTTGGTATCTAAACCTAACCAACGGGTTTTCGTGCCTAAACCTAACCAAGGGGTTTTGGTGCCTAAACCTAACCAAGGGGTTTTGGTATCTAAACCTAACCAAGGGGTTCTGGTGCCTAAACCTAACCAAGGGGTTTTGGTATCTAAACCCAACCAAGGGGTTTTGGTATCTAAACCTAACCAAGCCGTTTTGGTGCCTAAACCTAACCAAGGGGTTTTGGTATCTAAACCTAACCAAGCCGTTTTGGTGCCTAAACCTAACCAAGGGGTTTTGGTATCTAAACGTAACCAAGGGGTTTTGGTGCCTAAACCTAACCAAGTGGTTTTGGTGCCTAAACCTAACCAAGGGGTTTTGGTGCCTAAACCCAACCAAGGGGTTTTGGTATCTAAACCTAACCAAGCCGTTTTAGTGCCTAAACCTAACCAAGGGGTTTTGGTATCTAAACGTAAACAAGGGGTTTTGGTATCTAAACGTAAACAAGGGGTTTTGGTATCTAAACCTAACCAAGCCGTTTTGGTGCCTAAACCTAACCAAGGGGTTTTGGTATCTAAACGTAACCAAGGGGTTTTGGTATCTAAACCTAACCAAGCCGTTTTGGTGCCTAAACCCAACCAAGGGGTTTTGGTATCTAAACCTAACCAAGCCGTTTTGGTGCCTAAACCTAACCAAGGGGTTTTGGTATCTAAACGTAAACAAGAGGTTTTGGTATCTAAACGTAAACAAGGGGTTTTGGTATCTAAACGTAACCAAGGGGTTTTGGTGCCTAAACCTAACCAAGTGGTTTTGGTATCTAAACCTAACCAAGTGGTTTTGGTATCTAAACCTAACCAAGGGGTTTTGGTGCCTAAACCTAAACAAGGGGTTTTGGTGCTTAGACCTAGGTTAGACACATGTCCTTAAGCTGCGCAGGTAAAATAAGTGGTGTTTAATCGAAAAAACATTATAGTGTGGATGAAACGGTCTAAATTAAGCAATTTGGGTCCAGAAACAAGAGGTGAAAATCCAGACACAACAAGAAACACTAGGGACGAGACACATCAGACAATCAGGGCGCCCACAGAAAGGAAGTAAAACAAGACGACAACACCAGGGGCAAATAAACTTCATTTTGTTAGCGACACTAAGGCTGCGTTCAGACTGCAGGCCAATGTGACCCAAATCCGATTGTTTTGCCCATATGTGACTCAGATCTGATCTTTTTATGACAGTGTGAACAGGCCAAGTCACATGGAATCTGATCTTTTCCAGTTCGGAACTGTGCCACTTCCATATGTGGTCCAAATTCGATACAGATCGGATCTTTTTAAATGCGTCCTGAGTCTGGACACTGAGGACGCATTTGATGTGACTTTGACGTCGCTGTAGAGCAGCTGTTGTCACAGTTCTGCTGTAGACGGAGCCGAGGGAGAGAGTGAGCAGTGGGGCAGTTGCGTTATAGTCTACAGTGCAAGAAACCCTAAATAAAAGGACAGAAAGTTGTGAACACTTGTCATAATTCGGGAAAAATGTGACTCGTGAAAGGACAATGAAAAACGTTATTGTTATTCTTCTGCGCATGCGGGTCACTTTCAGGCCGCGGATAGTTACGTGAACTGTCAAACAAAAAAAATCGGATCTGGGGAAAAAAATCGTAATTGAGCATTAAGGCCTGCAGTCTGAACGTAGCCTGAAGTGCAGATGTCCATGAAAGTGAGGACATTTTGTTTGAACATGCCAGAAAGTGACAACAGTGTGATCTGCGCTGCAACTTTTCTGCTGAGTCTGAAGTTTGTTTGTCTCTTAAACTTGATGACACGCACGCACACACTCACACACCTTTTTTTCTAAATGAACCACATGACATTTAACCAACAAAACTGTCTTCTTCTCTCTGACTCTGTTTCCTCGGGCGAAACACAGATCATCATCAGTTTAGCTTTTACAGAAGAAGACATTTACTCGTTCACATGAAAATGTTTCGCTACTAAACACCGCATCATCAGAGATTTTAGGATAATGAGATGAAAGCACCAGTTTAGTGAGGACTGTCAAGAAATGTTAAAACATGAAATCTGATTAACTCAATTCAGAGTTGATCATTCTAAAAATAAAATTTACTCAAAAAAACAACTATTTTTTTAAAGATTTTGTTCCTCTAAATGTTATGGTTTTATTCTTGAAACATTACAAGTTTATTCTCTGTTAAAATATGTCTTTTTTTCCCAAAACAATTCAAAATTCTCTTGAAACAATATTTTTTTTCCTCAGAAATAAAAACTTCATTTTCAAGATTTTCTTCTTAAAAACATGACTTTTGTCTAAATGTTTAGATTTTTCTCATAAAATTGCAACTTCTTCTGTAATATTATGACTTTCCAAAATTACTTTTTTCTCATAACATTACGAATTCTTTCTCTAAAACAGGAATTCACCTCAAGTTGTTCAAACTTTCTCTAAATAATATGACTTTTTCTTCATAAAATTACATCTATATATTTTTTTTATTGTTAAAAAACCCCATTTTTCTTTCAAAGTCTTGTGACTTTTGCTGTAAAACTCAGCTGAGTGAGTTGCCTGTCAGGTGTTTATAACTATCTGTAGTTAAAGAGGAAACATAAAGAGCATCTGGAGGCGTGATCACACTCTGAGACACAATAACGTCTCGCTAAGTGTTTTTAAAATCAGCCACAGAGCAGCTTCTCACACATCACACTCACCATCAGTTCGACGTGCAGGACTCTGCAGACAGACTCTTCATAAACCGTCAACGGCATCAACTCTCTGAAGGTAAAGGAAATTTGTTGGAAGTAGAAATCAAACTTTAAGCAATCAGGTCATTTTTTATCAACATGGAACGTTTACTGTGTATTTCTTGGCATTTATTCAATAACTGTAATATACCTTCACTGATTGTTTTATTGATAGATTTAATGATCCCCTCTGAAAATACTTCACCTCAGAAGAAAGATGACCCCAAAATCTTGTCTCGTCTGGTGCTCACTTTAAGTTACGAAAGCTATCATTAAAGAAATGGCACAGTGCGAAACTTTATTAAGATGAAAATTCTGAGATGGAAAAATTAAAATGACTTCTTCCCATCTTACCTTAAGTTTTTAGTTAAAAAAAAGTTAATCGTATCTCATTATTCTGACATGTAGGGCTACAATTAACGTGTGTTTTCTTTATCGAATAATGTCTTGATTATTTTCTAAATTAAATGATTAGTTCTTAGGTCCAGAAAATAGTGAAAATAGTCCATCGGTGTTTCCCAAAGGCCGAGGTGACTTCCTCAAATGTCTTCTTTTGTCCACGACCCAAATATATTCAGATAACTGTTATAGAAGAGCAAAGAAGACAGAAAATATTCACATTTGACGAGCTGGAATCAGAGAATTTAGATGTTTTTTCTTTAAAAACGGACTTAAAGCAATTAGTTGATTATCAAAATTGTTGGCGATTAGTTTAGTGATAGTTGAAAATAAAACAAGCTAAAGTAGGAAAATATAACATATTAAAACAAAACATGTTAAATTGTGTGGCGTCCTGGAAGATGGAGGTGGTGGATTGAGACCCTGACCAAGTAATTTCAGTTTGGGTACTGATGGGCTTCCATAGAGAACACACAGATTGAGTTAATTAATTGATAACTGCAAACATGCTTACACACCTTTGGGCTTTCGAGACCTGTTACTGATGTAACACCAATATCTAAACCATAATAAACTGTTAGAAGAATGCCAAGAAATGTGGTGTACTGTGTTTCACACCGGCTGCTTTTATCTGCATTAATTCAGGGTATCAGGGACAACAAGGTGCCACCAAACAGAAAAAAACAACATAACCTGCAGTTTTTAAACTTTGCTCAGATCTTTTTAGACATTTTCAACTTTGTGGAGCAAAACATTAGAAAGACAGTGATTTCAGTTTTGAGGATCAAAGGGAGTTGAGTAAATGAAGTGGACTGGCTGTAATGTGGTCCAAGGTGTCTGAGACTCGAGGGATGCATTCAAGGGTTAAATATGTAAAACTTAAATTAATAGCTGAGTCCTAAATAGCTGCCTGTCCCCGTTTATCAGCCTGGTGTGGAAACAAATAAATGCAGGTGTCGATTAGACAAGAAGTTCTTTGGATGTTTGAAACCATTTAAAGTCTGCCGGGTCACCTGCATGAGCTAGGTCTAAGTTGCTAAGATCGTGACTACAAATATAAATGTTTAAACTTTTGGCAGTATGGACGTGCTACTCATTCACAATTCCACAATTCAATCGTTCAGTTAATTTTACGGAGACAACAATCCCCAAAGTCTAATTCATTCAGATGGTGAACAAGAGATGAACAAAAGTGCCAAGTCCCGTTACCTTTGAAGCGCTCTTTAAAACTGAATGTGTCCGTTCCTTGATTCATATTCTTTTAGTCTGCACGGGTCAAAACAGCTTTTCATAAAAATGAATCTGTCTGAGCTAAATCAAATAAATTATTTGATATGCTAATTTTTATAAAAGTAGTGTAGCTTGGGGTAAGACGCCCCCTAAGCTCAATGTATATTTCTGACACATTAAAGATTTTTTTTGATTGTTTTTTGTATCTTTAACAAGACTATGCTTTGGGTAACATATTATAAAATAAATAGCTACAGTTGACAAATTAATTTGTATTTAATCAAATGTATTTGATTACTATCACCTTAATATGTCCGAATTACAGATAAAATAAACTCAAAGTAGCTGGTTAAAAGCAAGGGGATTATAGACCTGTGTTGTAGAAGTAAACTTGCCTTGCCTTATATTATTAGCTTTCAGCTAGTTAGCTGTAAATCTGAGCCTATGTGAGCTTCTAACCTCAGACTTCTACCTCAGACTCTCTGTGATAGTGAAGCTGCTGATTGGCTGACGGGTCTGTCCAGAGTCTAAATAACATCTAACTTACAAACGATCAACCATAAAGAGGCACAGCGACCGGGTGGGGCGTCTTACCCCAAACATACTAATCTAGCATTTTACTACTTTAACCAAAAACTATAAAAACATTTCTCTCTAAACAATTGCATAACTTATCTTAAGGCTCCAGTTAATGTAAATATACATATATACAGTAAATTCAAAAAAGATTTCCTCATTTAAACTGACACAAAAATTAGATCAACTTAGGTCAGAATGGCTTTTATCAAATAAGTTTAAAAATTGTGATGAAACAGAGAACCTTTTTAGTTCAGGGAGACGAGGGACAGACAGAAGAAATGTTGAGGAAAATTGTGGCATTTTGCGTTAGAATTACCATGGGGGGGCATCTTACCCCATGTTACCCTAATATTCATACTGGTTGAAACAATTTGATAGTAGCCTGTTTCAGTTTTGTGCAGAAGTAATTAAAGGCCTTACTCACATGGACGCCTGTCCCAAATATAGGCAGGGTCAATTCAGTGATTTTAGTATCATGTAACATCATAATTCTGACAGGTTTCACGGCAGTCTGTCTCTTCTTCACCTCTTTTCTTTCAGTTCTACAATGCTCTCCTCCTCCCATCTCCTCCTCCTCCTCTTCCTCCCTCGGTCTCTGGGTTGTCAGACCGCCTCCTACACGGAGTGTCAGCAGACTCCGTTTGTACCGGGTCACAACCTGGCTGGCGAAGGCTTCAACGTGGTGATGATGAAGACCAGTGGCGCCAGCGTGGTCGACGTCAAGAACTTCATGGTCGGAGGAGTTCAGGGGAACTGCACCTTGTGCCACAACAACCTCCTCAACAAGGTCAGAGCTGCTCCGTGGTGGAAGAAGTAGTTTATCCATTACTGTAGTCAAACCTTACTTAAGGAAAAGTACGTATTATCAGCAAATGCACATAAAGTATACATATATAACCAGATGTCTGTCTGTGCTGTTGAAGTTTACTACAGTAATTAGCACAATTATGCAAATACTGCGGCCATTCTGTGGCTCCACTGCTGATGTTTAACCCATTAAGTGAGATTATTTTTGTGCCTTCAGCAGCTTCACCAAGGGTTTTTTTTGTTAGCACATGCAAATATTTTAGGAATAACTGAACTAACTAACCTCTGTGCATCCTCTTCAAACAGACCCAGAAACTCCCTGCGTCAATCCTGGACTGGCGGGTCAAGGTCAGTAAAAAATCACTTTGACTGAAAATTCATCAATAAATATTGATAAAAAGGAGGATTATTGGAATGATGTTTATGGCAGTGATGAGCTTGTGAAGCCTTGTATTGTAAATTAAGTACAACATGGCCACGTTAGGGTGTACAGCATTACCCAGCATCCTCTCTGGCCCCAGGTGCTATGCCATCGCAAGCTAACGCGTAAGATCTTTGAGTCCAGCCAGTCAGTCATGGAAGACACAAGCAAATCCCTCGGAGTCAACTGGAAGGTAGGAGTTTTTTTAATTATTCAATTTTGATGGAATTTGACCTGTGAATCTGTGACGTCAGCACTCTTTCAAAGGTATCTGCCTATCCTGCCCAGACCAAAACTAACTTTTAAATTCAGTAGTTCAACAGCTATGTGAGCAAACATCAGAGCAGAGTGCTGATGTTACAGACTATGTGTGCAGTAGTTAATTGCACCTGCTGTGATGTGGCTCAGGTGGGCCTCGGCATTTCTGGACTCGGTGGTTTTGCAATCGGAGGATCACACTCCACCACGTCAAAGTTTGCAGAAAGCCACAGCAGGAAAGACAAGTTCTCCTTCGTCACCCACAACTTTGAATGCAAATACTACACGTGAGTACTGAAATTAGGTTGTTTTGCTATAAAGGCATTTTTGTAAGCCTGGAAAAGACTTTCCTCACAGATGCAACGTTTCTGTGGAGATATGCAAATTTCAATTAATTGTTCAAAACATCAAAACGTTTTCACATCAGTATGAGTTTCCAGGTGTTGGAGAGTATAAACACATATGTGGAAACAGTAGTATGAAGCCTGTAGTGTCTCAGCGGGAACTGTTAAAGTCTGAACCATGTCCTCAGGTCACTTGAGTCAGCGTCGGTTGAAGTCTACAAGTTTGAAACAAATCTGTTTGTGTAGCGTTAGGAAGAACTCATCTGTGACTGCAGGCTACAGGCTCCAGGCTACATTAGCCGCTACTAGCATAACAGCAAGCGAGAAGCTTGCTGTTATGCTAGTCAAACACAGATCTGAGTCAAACACGGAAGTCCCTTAAACCTGCATTCTATTGAATGGCCAGCAGGGGGGCAACTCTTCTGGTTTCAAAAAGAATTGAGGCTCCATTACAAATAACAGTAAAATGTTTCTACTTGTCAGCTGATTTATTCCCTCAGTAAACACTTTCCTGATGAGTTTATGGTCTCAGTCACTAGTTTCAAGTCTTCTTCAACACAGCATGATGTTTATTTAGTAAATTATGGTCCCATTTAGAGGAACAGAGACCAGGAAGCAGGGGAGGCTTTAGGGCGGTACTATCTGTGATTGACAAGTCGTTACCATGACGACCTGTCAGTCAGGCTAGAGTGACTCACCTGTACCCACAGCACTGTGTAAATTTAACCAGCGCTGTTAAAAAAACTTATTAGGATATGGCTGTTCACTTTCTCTGGTGAGTACATTTAGTTTTAAGCCTGTTGTTTGCTAGACAAAATTATCAGCCATGTTAAAATGACGTTAACGTAAGTTAACGTGAATTACAGATGCACCTAGCTAAGAAAGGTAGCTAGCTCCACACACGGCTGTTAGCTCCACCGTCTCGTCCAAATATGGTCACATCCAGTGCCGCTGGTTGCAAAAATCAACATGACGGCCCCCTATCAGCCAAACTCAAGGCTTCAAAATGGCAGTCCACAAACCAACGGGTGACGTCAGGATGACTACGTTCACTTTTTATATACAGTCTATGCATAACACACCTGAATCTCTCCCCGGACTATCGGTGGTCAAATTTCATTGCAGGTAATGTAAGCGCCAGGTTTTGACCAGGAAGAAGATTGTATGGAATCAATCATTCAATAAATATAAATTTTGATCCTATTTTTTTACAAGATTGAGTCCAATGGTGTTTCAGCCTGTAAATCAATGGAGTGCTTTTAGTGAAGAAAAAATGAATAAAATCATTCTCCTTGTTTACCTTCAGCTTCCGTCTTCACACCCGCCCTCCACTGAGTAAGGAGTTTGAGGGTTCCCTAAAGAACCTTCCCCCCACCTACGACCCCAAGAACGCTGCACCTTTCCAACAGTTCATCTCTATCTATGGGACCCACTTCATCCGGCAGGTTCACCTCGGGGGTCAAGTGACCTCCATCACCGCCATCCGGACCTGCGAGGCCGCCATGAGCAAGATGGATGTCCACACTGTTAGCAACTGCCTGTCTGTCGAGGCCGAAGCGGTCATCAAAGGCATCAAATTCGACGCAGCCCTTGGCTTCTGCCGCAACAAGAGCAGCAGCCTAAAAACAGGAGCAACCTTCAGCCAGGCCTTCTCCGACCGGACCACCATGGTTCTGGGAGGAGACGGGAATGTGGGGGACATCCTGTTCAGACCCAATGGTGCCGCAGGGTACAAGAAGTGGCTCAGTTCCCTGATGAGGGTCCCAGGTGTGGTGTCCTACGAAGTCAGCCCCCTGCACTTGCTGGTGAGGAACAAATTAAGGGCAAATCAAGTTGAGGAGCTTATTTACAGTTTTTTAGATAATCTAACTGAAGTCTAGTGTCTAGTGGCCAAGCTCCATTTTGGGATGCATTTTAAAACCAATTAGATTGCAAAAAATTGCTTCATGCCAAATGTTGATGATGACCCTAAATCTTAATTCACCTCCCCTGACTGTTATTGGTAATTAAGATAGTAAATGTTATCTAGCAAGCACACAAGCTAGCTCAAACTGTTCTCACTCCCAAATCGTCACATATGGATGCATGGTCAAGACCCACTGGCGTCAGTTTCTAATGAACCGGGAAGCCGCTTAGCATCATAGTTCAACGCACTGGGGGAAGCCCTGTAGCGTAATTTATGAATGCTAAAAGCCGGTATCGTTTGAGTGGTGTTTGTTTCCGTGTAAAACAAAAAGTGTCACAACGTAGGTTATGCAAGCTTTGTAAGTACAGTTAGTTAACTTACGTAAGTTAAGTTTTTTAACCCTAACCATTACCTTTTCCTAAACAAGCAGTTTTGGTGCTAAATAAATTGTGACATTTCACAACGTTAACCACTAGTTTTATTTTGAACGTCTAACCGAATGTTGCATATTTATTCTTGCTAACTTGACCGTGGAGCCCTACATCTTCAAAAATGACAAAAGGGTACCAAGAGCATTAAAAAGCAACGCCAAGGGTGCTGACCAAGCGTCCATATGTGATGAGATGGGAGTGAGATTGCAAGGGCTAAATAATGTTTGCTAGGTAACTTACAAGCACACCAGCTAATGAGCTAATAGTTATCTAGACAGGCTGCTGGTCAACTAAACTAACTACTAACTTAAAAGTAGGCTACTGTTAGTGTGTTTTCAGCAGCAGGTGACTTGACCGTTAGCTAAACCCCTGTATCATACATTCAATTCAATTTTATTTATATAGCGCCAAATCACAACAACAGTTATCTCACAGCGCTTTTCATAAAAGAGCAGGTCTAGACCATACTCTGTGATGATATTTACAGAAGCCCAACAGTTCCCACCAAGAGCAGCACTAGGCGACAGAGGCAAGGAAAAACTTCCTTTAAGAGGCAGAAACCTCGAGCAGAACCATGACAGCAAAACCTTTCAAAATTTTAGGTGCCCAAATTTGATCAGCAAGAACAGAACGAGATGCTTTTGGGAAAATACATTGTTGGGCTGAGACTAATGGAAAAGAGACTAGCTTGCTCTCTATAATGTCTTCAAACTGATAACAATGTTGAGTGTCTGCTGACTGGTTGTACTGGAAAATGAAGAACACCGTCTGGAGGTAAAGGGTCTACGGCAGGAAAGGGAACTTCAAAGTCCACGATTTTCATTCCTAATAAACTCTGTGCTTTTGTTCTGTAGTTGACAAACAACTCCACCCTAAAGTCCAACCTAGGTCAAGCCATCAGCGACTACATCCGCAACAGTGCGAAGTCCCTCCGCTGCCCGGCAGGATGCAAGGTCGGCCACCAGAAACAGGACTGTGCATGTCAGTGTAAAGGACACCGCATGGTCAACTCCGACTGCTGCCCAGCCGAGACCGGCGTAGCCCAGCTGAATGTGTCGGTGGTTCGAGCTGAGGGGCTGTGGGGAGACTATGTCACCAAGACAGACGGATACGTTAAGGTTTTCTACAATAAACAAGTTTACACAACACGAGTGATCTGGAACAACGACTTCCCCGTCTGGAATGAGCTCTTTCAATTCGAAACCGTCAACATACGGGACAAAAAGTGAGTGAATCTAACCTCTACTCATCTGATCTAAAATAATCTCAAATAAAATGTAGAGGTGAGACCTGACAGAGGGGATAAGGTCTAAAATCCTTCAGGCGTCTTAGCTCAAAGTCTCTTGTGTGCTTTTTTAACCCGGGTATGTTAGTTTCTTAGAAATATAAGCATTTTAGCCCCTGGTAGCTCCTGTCCCGCTTTCATGTGAAGTCCACCATTAGCTATTTTGTCTTGCTGACATTCAGGAGCAGGTAATTGTCATGACACCAGAGTTACAGCCCCTCACAGACACAGTACTCCCTTTTTCACGACGAAACATCAAAATTGAACGTCATGCCACGGACACACCGTTTGTTGAACCCTAAAAAGCTTTGGATCTTTGGATGACACTGCCCACATTTGAAGTTGATCAGCAGGGGACTCAGGACACATCCTGAACATCAGGGAGCCAGTGTTGAGGGTGGTAGGTGGATAAGGTGTTGATGTTCCCACCTAGGGAGTCTCGTCGTCACTGTGAGGTTGGCAGGAAATTAGCGGATACTTCAGAATATTGGCTGAAATAGTCTGAAACAGCCAGGGACATATCACCCCACAATGTGTTTTTACGCTTTTGTGCTGACGAAACAAATGAGATCAGTCAATCAGTGAGCCTTAGAGGTGCTGGAAGGATGATTCTTCTGGCTTTGACCAGAGCCAGGTTACATGTTTCCCCTTGTTTCCAATCTCACTGTACAGACACGAGCTTGGCACCAAAATGAACATCTCTGCACGGAAGAGAATCGTATTTAGTAAAACTATTTCTTTGTAGACACAAATCCTGTCTGGTGTACATTAAACATTGTATTTTTGTTTGCTAATGGATCAGAAGCTGATGACACACCTGTGTATTTCCTTCACAGACCAATCCGTTTTGAGGTTTGGGACCGGGACTACGGCTGGGACGACGACCTGCTCGGAAAAGCGGAAGTGGCGCCCACGACGTACCTCAATAGCATGAAGTTTCCGATGAACCACGGCTCGCTGTTCATCCAGCTGTCTGTTGTGTGTGCTCCCAGCCTGCAGGGGTCGCTGTGTGACCAGTACCTTGCTACGCCAAGCTACAAGGGCATTATGGGATACATGAAGGAAGACCGGCAGGACCACTGGGGTTCAGGGAAGTCGGGTCCTGAGGCTGATGGGGCTCACGGCGGGTCCTGAGGCTGATGGGGGCTCACGGCAGCTCCTTTCTTTGAATTTCCTCTAATCAATACACCGCTGCCCTTCTTAAGATTTGATGTATTTGCTGTTCTAGATGTTTCAGTGCTTCTTCTTGCTTTTTGGCGCTACAGTGATTTATTATTCGCTGTAAATTGACACACACCAATAAAACAAAGAGCTGAGTTCAAAGCCCTCATACTTTCTCACCTTCACACACCTGACCCGTCACTGAGTGAAGAGTCTGTAACTTAATTGACCCTTCTCTAAGCCACGCCCCTCGTAGTAACTGTTGCTAAGTCCGACAAACTGTCGGACCTGACGGACTTTAATCACAGCGCTGCCGCTGTTTATCACTGCACTCCCTGGAGAAATATTATTGTCAAAAAGAAGCAGACAGTTTTGCAATTGCATTGTGCATTTGAAGGTTGTTTTCAAGTTGTCAGACTGACTCAAACTGATGTGAAAAAAATAATGATAGATGCTAAAGCCTACCAATCACAGAGTAAAAGTGAACCACCGATTATTGACTATTGAGACAAAACACAACGATATTAAGGATCAGCACTGTTCTTGTATAGCTGTTAGGCCTCTGTTCATTATTACAATCATTAAAAAGCAGAACAGTAGGGCTTTATTAGCGTTAGCTAACACAGCCGACATGTTTCTGGATGTATTTTAGGTTTTGGAAAGAGAATAAATCGTACTTCTCCTTTCAACCTCTCTGGGTAACGACTGTAACTATTACAAGTGCCGCAGGAACAGCGTTTGACCAGATCCAGGAAAAATACAGCCAAAAAAAAGCTAGAAAATGACATTTATGTTTCTGTAATGTTTTTGCAGTAGCGTCAATGGAGCGCAGCCGTGAAAGTGTCGGACCTCAGTTAGAGCGAGACTTCTACTGCGCTGTGATTGGCCAGCCGCGTGTTCGGGGCGTGGCTTAGTGAACGGTCAATTGTCCGATAAAGTAATCACTCACTCACATCAGTGACCACGTGGTCCTCAGACCGTCGGATCGTGATGATAATGCCACATAATCTCACTCCCAACTCGTCACATATGGACGCTTGGTCAAGACCCACTGCCGTTGCTTTTTAACGCTCCAGGTACCCCATGTTTTTAAACTTGTAGGGCTTAGACTTACATATGACTGTCAGCAGTCATATGTAAAATCCGGTCAGACTTTCAAAATAAAACTAGAGCTTAACATCATCAAATGCTGTAATTTGGTTCAGTTTAGGCAGCATTCAGTATTGTTTATTAAAGATATGTAGGTTACATAAGTTGCACCGTCCTCCTGGGTGAAAGTCCAGTTTCTGGCCCACCCCTCCACCTCCTTACTTGGACTTTACTGTTAAATATCCCACACCTACCTTTAGCGTTCAAAATTATTTTATTTTTGTTTATGTTTGAAATGCTAAATGGTCAGATGTTAGTATTAGGGTTTATATTCTTTCACAAGACAAAAAGAGTCCATCTGGAATTAATTATGTCATTGTCGCTGAAAAACAAAAGTTTCAAGATCTTGAGAAAATAATCCGGTTATCTCAGGAGATAATGATATAAATAACTCGAGATCTTGAGAAAAACGCATTAAATTAACTCGTTATCACGGGGAAAACGCGGGTTCAATCCCCCCACTGTCCCATCCACCAACATGTCCCTGAGCAACACACCCCTAGCTGCTCCAGAGGCATCTGACATGCTTAGCAATTGTAAGTAGTTTTGGATAAAAGCGTCAGCTAAATGAATAAATGTAGGGCCTCTTAGAGCTTCCATAAGTAGTAGTGTTCATAATAATTAATAAGCACATGCCAATAGTAGGAGTAGGAGGTACGCATGTTACTGGCAGTTGTCCAAATCGCTGTCAGCAGTCATTTTAAGTGTAACAGTTAAAACACACACTGCTGACTGTGTAACACCTACATGCAACCACACACACACACACACACACACACACACACTGAACGTTCAGTTATTCACTGCTGATGCTGGCAAATATTTAAAGAACACATGTTTGAAAAGCTCCTTATCAGAAGCAGAATGTGAAAATAAGTATACGACATTAGAAGTAAAACTTAACTTAAATGTCTTGTTAAGAGCAGCAAAGTACACAAGTATCACCAGTAAAAGTGTACTTAAAGTATCCAGAGTCCATGCAGCGTGAATAATTATGGATCCCTCGAGGTCCTGAAAGACTATTTGTGTTTTTTACATCATAATATTTTGCGCACACAACTCATTGATGTAATTAAATGACATTACACTGAACAAGTGAAGCCATTAAAGCAGGATTTATCAGCATTATCAACATCTTGAAAACATATTCTGGTTGTTGTTGATTTGGTATCATTCTTTTTTTAAGCTTTAGTAAGAGAAAGTCATTTACACAGTTTACAGGCAAAACAGTTTCTGCTGAAAAGGAAAAACATATAAAAAATCCTTCACTCCCACGGCCATTACTATATTGAACAATCACATATCACATTTTGTATTCTGCACATGTCTGTACAAATAATGTGGCTAAATTGTCTTCAGTGTATCTATGTTTTTTACATGTGTTTTTATGTCTTTTGAGCTTGTCTTGTCAAAGACAAATTTCACTGTCACTTATGACAGACAATAAAGTTTTTCTTATCCATCTTATCTGATGTCTTTTTCTTGCTATTATCACAAGTATGCGGTTAAATTTCACAACTTTTCACACAAAACTCCAAACTCATCACACACTGCCAGTCTTTTTTAAAACTTGTACATTAATTTGGATTGTAATCATCTCTCACGACACAACCATTGATTCAAAATATAAGTTTCTCATGAAATGTCATGAGAACACGTGGATTAATCACGACATAGATTTTTAACTACCAGTGAATCCAGGCAGTGTAAAATACATATACCCGCCTCTCTGGCTCATCGTGAATCACCTACGACCCCAAGCCCACGTTGTGTTTGTGCTCAATCTTTGTTTGAACACCTCACTCTGGTCTCCGTCTGACTTCCGGTCACCGGTCCATGCACTCCTGCAGCTGGGGGCTCCCCCAGCGCCACGCAACTTTCTAAATTCTTCCCTCTCACGGTGAAAAGAAAGGTCAGGTCGCAAACACAGCCACAGCTGTTGTGTGAAGCGGAATTGTAGCTAAATGGCTACATAGGATAATAATTATTATTATTATTATAATAATACGACAAACGTGCCTGATACTGTCACAGTCAGCCCCAGGCCTATATGCTTGCAGCTATTAATGATTCAGCAGTAAGAATCACTGTCTGTCCAGTCCCAACTTAAAGATCTGTTGTGTTTTTTGTGCTGAGAATGGTGAAACATAACCACATACTTGTGAATAGTACCATAGTGACAGAAAAAAAAAACCTGTAAAACACCAAATAGAGTTTATAACAGCAAAGACACACAATAACTAAACAGTGTTGATTGTTAATTAACGCACAAAAACACGTAATGAGGATTTTTCCTTTTGGTCAGATTTGCTGAATTGAATTTTTCTTTGTTGTAAATGGTGGAAATAAGCACTGTGATCGAAAGATGAGTTATGATGTGTTTGAAACGCAGCTTGAGGTTTTACTTTCAGCTCTGTGAAGGCTCCTTCTCTCTGCGTTCTGATTGGTCGGAGAAGGTCTTGATTTATGAATCATCTCTGAGTCGTGGTGTTAACCTCCGGCCTTCAGACGATTTACACGTTGATTCCTGTGACACGTCGATAGTGAATCAGGAGGAAGCTGTGTGCCGAAGAGGAGGAGATCAGGTGCCGTGATCCACATCCCACCTGCTCAGATTATAGAAAACACTCCTACAATTAGATTATTATTATCATTGTTTTTATAACATGTAAAGTGCATTTGAACATTTGAGGTTCAGGTGAGCTAATTTTTTACTTTAACATTTTTTATTCTGCTAGTTGGTCAAGTCTGTTTTATGTTAATCTGCACAGTAACAACACATACCCAAAAAGTAAAAAGTACAATATTTTCCTCTGAAAGGCAGAAGTCAAGGTATAAAGGATCTTAAAACTTAGCCCCAGGTGAGATTTTAGTTGGGTGGGGTAATCGCTCCCCTATCCTCAAGAATTGTTTTAAACGTTCAGCAGCCAAACTCACAATTTGATCGTGTATAGATGAAAAGCCAAGTCAGTAATCAGGCTCAATAATGAACAAGTGTGATCAGCGTACTTGTCAACTTCAACATCATAGCCTTAATTCGAAAGACCAAACTTGTATGTGTTCCTCCGTAAACTGTGTTTCAACCCAGAGACTGTGTTCTTGCATTATGGGGTAGATTTCTTGAAATGCAAAAGCATTTGTTCAGTTTCAATGGTGGAGGGGACTCAAACGAGGAGGAGGTCCTCCCCCAGAGAACTTTTAGCATTGAGGACTTCACTTCCTGCATTCTGATGAAAATTTCTGCCTCAATTTATGATGGAAAAGTCTTCATTTACGTAAAGGAAAACACAAAATTCAGGCAGCAGGTGACAATTCAAAATATACAAAAAAATAATAGAATATAATGCAGTAAGGCTTTCAGGCTTTCTGAAGCTGTTGCTTTTAAATAGCCAATATTTCTCATGTAGATCCATCCATCATCCATCCATCGTCAACCGCTTATCCTGCGTACAGGGTCGCCGGGGGGGCTGGAGCCAATCCCAGCTGACATCGGGTGAAAGGCGGGGTACACCCTGGACAGGTCGCCAGTCCACCGCAGGGCCACACATAGACGAACAACCATTCACACTCACACTCACACCTAAGGACAATTTCAGAGACACCAATTAACCCAGCCTGCATGTCTTTGGATGGTGGGAGGAAGCCGGAGAGAACCCACTCGGGCACGGCACCTCCGCGCCGCCCCTCATGTAGATCAACTTTTCTAATTTAAAAAAATCCCTGCTGAGTCAGGCATGATTCAGTCTTCCCTCCTCTTTTGTTTGGGGGTGTGCATGTGGCACCTTTCCACTTCAAATAAGTTCACTTTAATTAAAGTTATAAATTCCTGACTTTAATAAATCGAGCAGGTTTTCTGCTCATGTTCAAACTTTCTGCACATTCAGAATCTCTCCTGCATCTGTGTTCTCTGACATGTCCAGAAAAAGACGTAATATTAAGAGACGTCATCATTTGATGAGAATTCATAACATCTTTTAAGTCTACCTGCCCTGTACTCTGCTGTGCATTACTTATTGCTCCGCTGGAATTATCCCTTTAGACAGTCTGACCGACTCATGCACAGACTGCATGTTGCATATGAAACCGAAACCAAGTGTTGATGCAACCTAAAGTGTTTTTTTTATAAATGCTGATAATAATCAACAGATATTGCTACTGCTCATGGGACACTTTTTGATCCAGACGACAGAAGATGAAGGAATTAGCTTCAGTGTGTACCGAAACCCGGTATTAAACAGGCCAAAGGGCTAAACTGGTAAAGTTCAGCTCACGTTCTGAAAGGAAACAGCTGCAGGAAAAGTGAACAAACGGTGAAAACTTACAGCGAAGGAGAGGCGGCCCAAAACAAAGCAAAGTGAAGCCAGAGAGAACAAAGGTAAACCTATAAATCCAAAACCTGCTGGGGAAACACAGGGAACAAAGCTGAGACACTGACTGAGAGGTCATGATAGACAATGAGCTGGCACCGAGGAACAGACCGACTAAACACACCAGAGGGGTGGAGATAACGAGACCCAGGTGATCCACATCAAACAATCAGGGGGCACAGACACCAGGGCCAAGTTCAGCGCCGACAAGACGTAGCAACACATTTTTTCAACGGACGAACAGCCTGTTGTGTATGCAAGCGCACTGCATTTCGCCGCCTTTTTAACACCGCTGTCGCAGCTGATTGGGTAACGCCTGTGACACGCCCACCAAACGGGAGAAAACACACCTCGAAGCCCGTGGTGGAACGTTGCACGGATTCAATCTGAAAATGTTGCAAACCGGTGCTAAAAGTTTTGAGATTGAACTTGCCCCAGGGGCAGAACAATTTTAAAATAAAAGAGCGGGTTGCCTGTTAATCGGAAGGTCGGCGGTTCAATCCCTGGCTCCTCCAGGCGGCATGTCAAAGTGTCCTTAGGCAAGATACTGAGCCCTGAACTGCCCCTGGTGGCTGTTCAGTGTGTGAATATGATGTAGCGTAACGGCACCTTGAGTGGTTGAAAAGAATAGAAAGGTGCTATACAAATACAGAGCATTTAAATTTACATAAATACCATCCCTAGTGGTGAGTGTTGTTAAATTAAAAAAATGTTTTTTTACGAAAGATCATCAGGGATTTATCTTCGAGGTAAAGTGTTGCTGAGCTCTGTGAGAGGCACAAACAAGAGTTACTGCTAACATCCACCTGCTCTGGCTACGGCGCGTTACGGCTGCGCCGCGGTTGTTGGAGCTGATCGCAGCCATTATAATCAGTGCTTTTGAGTCCACCAGACGCGGCCTCAGCGCGTCCCAGAAGGCGGCAGGTCTATTTTTGCCGCGTCAAGCAGCACAGAGCAGATCGTACCAGGCAGGAAGTCAGACACAGGACGGCATAGAGAATCCGGTGAATTTTCAAAATAAAACGCCCTGTGGAGACACCCGAATCTAAATAATTTCTAGATTTCAAAACCATCTTTGCAAATCATGTATTTGAATTTCTTCCTCATATGTAAAGGCTCATATTCTTCACAATTTGAATTAGAAATAATCCACTTTGATTCCTGCATAATTATTTTCTCTCTTATTGTCTATTTCTTATATTCTTACTTGATCACCTTCTCTGCAAGTACTGCTGAGGTTACAAGAAATGTTTGTATTCTTATGTCTGGTTACCATAAAATGCTAAAAGGGAGTGAATGTAATGGGAATTCCAAACATGTTGCATGTAACCCTGGACTCAGGGAGACTCATCTGTGATGTGAATCTGTGTAAACGTAACAGTTGAAATATCTCTGTTCTCTGTGTTATCCAGACTTCAGGGACAATGTGTCTCTGTGGGATGATAAGATTGACCCTAAAGCTGGATAAATAGCAGGCTCATTCGAGCACACATGTACGTATGTGTTCCTGTATGTCCTTCTGCAGAAGATAATAAAATTAACAGAAAGAGAAGTGTTTGCCTGAGCTGTTTATTTGAAAACTCGTATTGCCGTCACATCGGAAAACAATTAACACGGTTTATTGAAAACAGACGAAAAAAGAAATCATTTAACTACGTTGCCTACTTGATCATAGCAGAAGCACAAAAAGCAAACACTGATTACCAAATCAACAAAATCTAAACATGTCAGCAAAATCAGGCAAAACGCTCTGATTCTGAAATGCTCCTCGTGGGAGACGCAGCCTGAGGTTGACGGAACGAAACGGGGTCACAGAGAGGCAGGCTGCACGCTCTGCTGCTGAAACGCTTCTGAGACGCTTCCAGTGGAAGTTGACGCCGAACTATGGACGCATCAAAACGCCGCCGTAGCGAGCTGTAGCCGGAGTCAGTGGATTCCTGGTGTTACGGTTGCTTAACGAAAAGGCAAAGCAAGTTTATTTGTATAGCACATTTCAATAACAAGGCAATTCAAAGTGCTTTACATCAAACATAAAAGAAACACACGGAAACTGAAAAAGAAACACATTAAATTATCATTTTGAAAAGGGTGATATCAAAAATAAAAAACAGGATTGAAAAAAAAAATGGATTTAAAGTTTCAGAGCCGTGTACGATCAGGGTTAAACACGTTAAACAGAAAATAAAAACAGGCTGAGGGGTTAATGAGCAAATAATTGAGTTACAATTATTTTTTGTCTTTGAAAAGAGAATTAACAGAGAAGTATCTACTCTCTCTAGCTAGTCTGTACTCGGTCCACTGCAATCTTTGGGTCCACTGAAACCCCAAAAACCCTCGGACACTACAGAAAAACCAGGACACGTCTGTCAGCAGGCCACTTTGATCCAGTTATACTCTGGACGCACCTGCGTGTTTACAGGTGTTCCTGCAAATCACTCAGGCCACTTCCTTCACTCTGTTCAATCTTACTTTCTTTATCTTTTCACTCAATTACCTACTCATTTCTCACCGTGTAAATAGTGTTCACTGAAAATCTTAAAACACAGACAAAGAAAGCAGGACGTTACAGTGCAGTGAAAAGCATGTATGTTCTTACAAAGTGGTTTAAATGGACCTTTGTTCCCTGATAATACTTCAGACTGTTCACTGTCCTGTTAGATCTGCAAGGACGGGCCAGACGTGGTGAATTATTGATGAAACATGATCTCCGATTTCCCTCGAGATCAGTTCAAAGACCACCAGAAAGAAAAAAAAAACCCTCAGTCCTGAGAATCAAACACCTGCCCAGTCTGTAGAAACTGAACTCACATTAAGACATTTAAAGAATCGCTTTTCCATCTCTGGACAACAGATTTGGATAAAGATTTGAGAAAGCAGTAAAAAAAAAAAAAAAGGAGGACAGTAAGGATGAAGAAGGGGGGATTTCCTCCGGGCGTCCAGCCAAGCTGCCGCAGCCTCCAGAGTTTATCTCAACCATTAAAAGTCCATTTTAAAATCTCAAGGCTCTGTTTAATAGCAGCTGGTCTCATATATCACTGCTACCACACACACAACCTCGTATCTCAACAGGAAGTCAGGAAGGTTTTCACATTAAAGGTTGTTCCTGGATCAGCCAGGACAGGATCCCACGCTGAAGGTTTTCCCTGAATCCAGGTCCAGGATCAGGTTCAGGCTGGGGGTTATGGGTCTGCGCAAGTCGTGTTTTCGGTTTCAGGCTGAAGGACGTCAGAGGGAGGAATCGAACCCGTGACCTTCCAGTTAATGGAGTTTAACCTCACTGCTATTTTAATACAGACGCTGTGGATGTCTTCAACAGTGATGTAAACAGAGCAACAGTAATGCCGTAACTGCATCATTAGAGGAAGTACGTCAGTAAAAGTGCTAATATCACAATGTAAAACTACCACTGCCACAACTAGAAGAGTGACGATCTCCACCAGGTATCACAACATGAAGAATAAATAAAACAGAGTAATTTGGCCTTTTGTCATTTAGTCTCCACTGATTCATGTTGTGCAGAGACGGCGGCACCTCGTGGATGCAGAACATATAAAATGTGTTTATTAAACCCGAACTGAGTGCGCGTCTCTGGCATTATACGAGCAAAATAATTAACCTTAGTTGTCAAAGTGCTTAATAACTGTTTCTGAAAATAACTGGTATTCTGTGTGTTGATCCAAAAGACCTCAGTGGTGGAATTAAGAACATTTACTTAAGTAACAATATGAGGTACTCGTACTTTACTTTAGTATTTTGTTTTCCTGCCACTTTCTGCTTCTTCTCCGCTACAAATCAGAGGGAGAAATTGCACTTTTTTATGACACACAAAACTTTTGAAGACTTAAAATAAGTTTTGTTATAAATTAAACTACATTAAAACATTTTATAGTACAGATGACAGGATTATTATTAAGAATTCAAGTAAAGTCACTGAGCTAGAGTCCAAGTCAAGTCTCAAGTCTCTGAGCTAGAGTCCAAGTCAAGTCTCAAGTCTCTGAGCTAGAGTCCAAGTCAAGTCTCTGAGCTGGAGTCCAAGTCAAGTCTCACGTCTCTGAGCTAGAGTCCAAGTCAAGTCTCAAGTCTCTGAGCTAGAGTCCAAGTCAAGTCTCAAGTCACTGAACAAGAGTCCAAGTCAAGTCTCAAGTCACTGAGCTAGAGTCCAAGTCTAGTCTCAAGTCACTGAACAAGAGTCCAAGTCAAGTCTCAAGTCACTGAGCTAGAGTCCAAGTCTCAAGTCTCTGAGCTGGAGTCCAAGTCAAGTCTCAAGTCTCTGAGCTAGAGTCCAAGTCTCAAGTCTCTGAGCTAGAGTCCAAGTCAAGTCTCAAGTCTCTGAGCTGGAGTCCAAGTCAAGTCTCAAGTCTCTGAGCTAGAGTCCAAGTCAAGTCTCAAGTCACTGAACAAGAGTCCAAGTCAAGTCTCAAGTCTCTGAGCTGGAGTCCAAGTCAAGTCTCACGTCTCTGAGCTGGAGTCCAAGTCAAGTCTCAATTCTCTGAGCTAGAGTCCAAGTCAAGTCTCACGTCTCTGAGCTAGAGTCCAAGTCAAGTCTCAAGTCTCTGAGCTAGAGTCCAAGTCAAGTCTCACGTCTCTGAGCTAGAGTCCAAGTCAAGTCTCAAGTCTCTGAGCTAGAGTCCAAGTCAAGTCTCACGTCTCTGAGCTAGAGTCCAAGTCAAGTCTCAAGTCACTGAGCTGGAGTCCAAGTCAAGTCTCTGAGCTGGAGTCCAAGTCAAGTCTCAAGTCTCTGAGCTAGAGTCCAAGTCAAGTCTCAAGTCTCTGAGCTAGAGTCCAAGTCAAGTCTCACGTCTCTGAGCTGGAGTCCAAGTCAAGTCTCACGTCTCTGAGCTAGAGTCCAAGTCAAGTCACTGAACAAGAGTCCAAGTCAAGTCTCAAGTCTCTGAGCTGGAGTCCAAGTCAAGTCTCAAGTCACTGAGCTAGAGTCCAAGTCAAGTCTCTGAGCTGGAGTCCAAGTCAAGTCTCAAGTCTCTGAGCTAGAGTCCAAGTCAAGTCTCAAGTCTCTGAGCTAGAGTCCAAGTCAAGTCTCAAGTCACTGAACAAGAGTCCAAGTCAAGTCTCAAGTCACTGAGCTAGAGTCCAAGTCAAGTCTCACGTCTCTGAGCTGGAGTCCAAGTCAAGTCTCAAGTCTCTGAGCTAGAGTCCAAGTCTCAAGTCTCTGAGCTAGAGTCCAAGTCAAGTCTCAAGTCTCTGAGCTGGAGTCCAAGTCAAGTCTCAAGTCTCTGAGCTAGAGTCCAAGTCAAGTCTCAAGTCTCTGAGCTAGAGTCCAAGTCAAGTCTCAAGTCACTGAACAAGAGTCCAAGTCAAGTCTCAAGTCTCTGAGCTAGAGTCCAAGTCAAGTCTCACGTCTCTGAGCTGGAGTCCAAGTCAAGTCTCAATTCTCTGAGCTAGAGTCCAAGTCAAGTCTCACGTCTCTGAGCTAGAGTCCAAGTCAAGTCTCAAGTCTCTGAGCTAGAGTCCAAGTCAAGTCTCACGTCTCTGAGCTAGAGTCCAAGTCAAGTCTCAAGTCTCTGAGCTAGAGTCCAAGTCAAGTCTCAAGTCTCTGAGCTAGAGTCCAAGTCAAGTCTCAAGTCTCTGAGCTGGAGTCCAAGTCAAGTCACTGAACAAGAGTCCAAGTCAAGTCTCAAGTCTCTGAGCTGGAGTCCAAGTCAAGTCTCAAGTCACTGAGCTAGAGTCCAAGTCAAGTCTCAAGTCTCTGAGCTGGAGTCCAAGTCAAGTCTCAAGTCTCTGGGCTAGAGTCCAAGTCAAGTCACAAGTCTCTGAGCTAGAGTCCAAGTCTAGTCTCAAGTCTCTGGGCAAGATTCGAACGAACACCAGTCTCCTGGTTTAAAGTCCAGTTTCTGTCTCACCAACTACCTCCGTACTCAGAGTTTACTTTTAAATATCCTACACCTACCTTTTGCGTTACAACCTGAAGCCAGCAGGTCTTGTAAGTAAGAACGCTTCTACATACAGACGTTAGTAAAGTAAAAAGTAAAAGTACTTTTACACTACAACTGCAACTATTCACATCAAATTTTTCTGTGTATTTTTAAATAAATGTGTATGTGTATTTGTACATATTTGACTCTTGGGTTTCAGATGTTAGTGAATGACATTAATATCACAGCCTGTGATTTACAAACACGTCCATATATCACCCCTGCTCCCCCCAGCAAATATAAGGCCCAAATGGATGAACAGATTGTCCACTCCCCCAGTACCCTGCCCCCCCCCCCCTCCCCCCATCCTCATTCACCTGAAGCGGAACACACCTCCCTGCTGCTGCTGTGGGGAGGGAGAGGGGTCGAGAGACACCGACACAGAATACAGAGAGAGGATGGGAGGGAGGAAGCAGAGGAGGGGGAGGGGAGAGGCAGCAGCAGCAGGTAGAGATGAAGGGTGGAGGGAGTTGACGCATGCGCACTGGCACTCCATCCCCTCCGCATCGCCCCCCCCCCCCCTCCCTCCCTCCTCTCTCTTTTTCTGCAGCATCAGTACCACACTCCCTCCCCCCTCCCTCCTCCTCTTTCTCTCTCTCCCTCCCTCCCCCACTCTCTCTCTCTCTCTCTCTCTCTCGGTCGGTTTTCCTGCCGGGCTGCTGCTGCTTTGCGCGCTGCGGGGCCACACTGCGACCGCACCGAGGAGGAAGAGGAGGAAGCCGCGGACCGAAAGGGGGGCCAGAGCGGCGGAGAAAAAAAAAAAAGAAGCAAAAGAAGCAGAGGAGGAGGGTTTGAACGCGCCGTCACCGCACGGATAACAAATACCTCAGAAGAAGAAGCAGAAGGCGGAGACGCGTCACACCGCGCCGTTCCTCCCTCCATCTCTGGCTCCGCTTTTCAGGGGAACTGAAGAAAAGGTGAAACACGAAGAGGAGGACAAACAGGGGGAAAAATCTTGTTGGGGGATCTCGGAGCGCAAAACGACGAACGACGCGGTGTTGGAAACCTCCCCCCTCCCCTCACGGACCAGGGCCGATTCTCCGTTTTCTAGCAGGTAGCTCGGCGCGGCGACACCATGAAGGACCGTACGGCGGAACTACGAAGTGTAAGCTGATTTTTTCATCTTTATTTCCATCCATGTTGGCCTCCATGTTCCCACCTCCTCTCCTCCTACTCCCCCTCCTCCTCCTCCTCTCCTCCTCCTCCTCCTCCTCCTGCAGCCGCCGCAGCTCCACGGCCTCGCCGCCTCTCCTCCGCTGCAGCCGGACGCGAGCGGAGGAGCGGGGCCAGAAAACCCGCTGAAAAGCCCACATCTGCGCTCCTGTCGGGCTCTGCGGAGGAGGTGTGGAGGCAGGTGGAGCTGCGGCTCTGAGCTCTTCATGCTGTGAATACAGAGTGATGTGACAGTAGCCGCAGAGTTGTGAGGATGGAGCCTGAAATGGAGGCTCTCCTCACACAGGGACTAGATTTTGCTCTCAGTGTGAGTGGATGTTTGGTTTGTTGTGAGGTGAGCACCGGCTGCGGGTCACGATTGCTGCACCGTACTCGTTCATTTGTGGGGTATTTCCGCCTGTAATAACCGACATCTGAGCGCGTCTCGGCGGGTTTAGACGCAGAGGCCCTGCTCAGGGTTTTCTCTCCTCGTGCAGCGCTGCATGCATGATGGGAAAAATGCCTTGAAAAAAATAAAAACGCTCCCATCCATGCTAATTTGGCCGTGCATGTCCATGCATGCGTGCCTGGGTGACCTGATGGAGGAGGAGGAGGAGGAGGAGGAGGAGGAGGAGGAGGGAGCTGACTCTGAAATGAGTCGCGGACCAAAATGCAGTGATTTTTTTTTTTTCCGAGGCCGCATCCTGCAGCCAGCGCGCGCCTCCTCCCTGAGAGAGAGCCGCGTGAATGTGGGAGCATCAGTCCCGATCAGGCGGAGGGGGGATCGATGCGCGCGGCTGGATGGATGAATCAGGCGGCAGGTGGAGCGGAACGGAGGATGCAGCTTTTCTGCCGCTTCTCCGCGTGCTCCTGTATGGGTGATGGGGGGGGGGGTTATTGTACTCAAGCCTCACCCATTTTATGACTCCGCATTGGGGGAGACTGGAGGTTTGACGCGTGCGGTGTGCGGGGCGATGCGGCGCGGAGCTATACAACAGCTGATGCTGGCGGGATGGGCGGACAGTGGAGGGATTTTTTTGGGTGGGGGGCGGAGGAGCGGGTGGTGGTTGGTAGGTGGGGGGTGCTTCCATCAGCTGCTCAAACTGCAGCAGCTCCTCGCCGCCGGGTTCAACCGGGTTCGCGTCAGGCAGAACTGAATAAACAGAAACACATCCATCTATTTCCTCTTCATTTTATTGGATGTTCTTCATTTCCTTCCTTTCTTCCATCTGTTTCAGGTCTACGTGTGTTTGGGGGGTTCAGATACTATTGATCAGAACCTGATCAATAAATCAGCAGCTGAAGTGTGTGTGTGTGTGTGTGTGTGTGTGTGTGTGTGGAGGTGATTTGCATTAACAAAGTGACAGGCTCAGCACCGCCCGGAGTTTACCGCACTGCTGTCCGTCCATCACCACTTCTTCTTCTTCCTTTATCCTTTGTCACATTCTTTCCAGCTCTCCGTCTCACTTCCCTTCCTTTCTCCCCTCTGTCCCTTCACCATCCTTTCTCTATCCATCCTTCCATGCCTCTTCGATCCCTTATTTCAGCTTCCCTCCATCATCCTGTCCTCACTTTATCCTCCATCCCTTCCTTCGCTCTCCCTCTTTATTATCCATTGTCCACTCCTCCTCCATCCTCTCTGCCTCCAATTCTCTTCTTCCATCCCTCCCTTCATCTTCCCTGCCTCCCCTTTTCATCTCCTATTTCCTTTCCTTTCCCTCTTCCCTTCAGCCCTCCGTCTTTCCGCCACACAACTCCACTGCACAGACCGAACACCCGAGTCTGACCGGCTGCAGAACGAGCTTCCTGTTTCCTGTCTGAGGAGTGGAAGCAGACGTGAGGAAGAAAGTGATGATGAGGCTGTAACCTTCCTCACATCAACACATGACACTAACAGAAACCTGCTTTTTTGGGGTGTGGGGGGGGATCGATACAGTATCGCGATATTTTCTGTGGCAATACCGTCGATCGATACACAGACGTCAAGTATTGATCTTTTATTATATATTGTACATGAGAATTTATAATGATAAAATCAATTGCTTTTTCAGTCCACGAGAAAAAGAGTTTTCCTTTGGAGACACAATTTGAATTGGAGAAAGATAATATGTGTTTAAAATCACAATAATATGGTCTCACGGGGCCTCTGGTGATTCCCACCCCTGGTTCTCCATCGTTTGAGTTTCGACTGCAGCTCCTTTAATGACATCACCTCGCCGCGTCCCCTTCTTCTTCTGCGCTGGTTTAATGGCAGCGGCTGGAGAATCAGCTCCATCAGCCAATGAGATCATGTGGAGACACAACTACCGCTTCCTTCTGTGCACTTCTTATTCTCGTGCCTCCATCTTCTCTCTCCCAGTGGTTATTTCAGCTTCCATCCACTTCTTTTGCTCCACCTTCCTGCCGTCACCTCGTGGCCTGTCCCGCCACCGTGTCCTCATCCACTCCTCCATCTTCACTGCTTCTTCTGTTTCCCATTGTCTCCTCTCTCTTCTTGTTCCAGCATCCCTCCCCCCCTCTTCTCTTCCACTCTTTATTTCAGCTGTCCTCCATCCACCTATCCCTTCTGGGTTTCATCTATCCCTTCCCACCCCCCCATCCTGACTGCCTCCTCTTCTTCTCTTTTCCCTTCGCCCGTTCGTCTCTTTCCGAGCCTCATCCCTCCATCGGCTGCAGATTCTCTTCTCGCTCTGTGTGAAACATGTCGTCTCGTTGTCCTCGCGGGTCAGCGTCCTCTACTCAAATGTTTTTTTGGTCAATCTCTTGTCTTCCTGTCGGCCATGTTGGCGATCGCTGGAGTGAAATCCGGCTCACGTAATCTTGCCGGTAACAGATGCTGCTGTATCATGCAGCAGCAGAAGCAGCTCAGTAGTAATAATTATATTTTTATGTAATCGTCCACATCACAGTGACGCTGGCTGCTCTCCTCCTCCTCCTCCTCCTCCTCCGAGCAGCTCCGAGTCCACACGGGTCTGAACGATTGCTGTGAGTGTGTGAATGTGACTGAAGGAGGCAGGAAACCTACAACAAACCCTGCAGTGGCTCTCCAGCCTGCACAAACCTCTCAGCGCTGCTCCTTTAACACGATTCCAGCGTTAGAAAATATCTCTGAAAGCGTAACTCCCAAACAGCATCTGTAGTCTGCACAGAAATATTACAGGGAGGTGCAGCGCGGTGAGTTCAGGCCTGTTCGTAAATCTGAAGTCTGCATTTCCTTGAGGAATGAAACCTTGTAAAACAAAGTCAGGTGAAAATATTTAGAAATATTCTGTGTTTTGTCACGGTTGCTACAGAGAAACCGCTGCATCAATGTTCCGCCTGCTGCAGGAAATGCTTCGTCACGTTACGCTTCACCATCTGCAGCAGCAGGTAGCTTTGGCGTTACGTGTTGCTGAGACGTGTCGGAGCGCTCGCTTTGCTTCACCGTGGGTCAAACATGTGAAACTGTTGATGTAGAAGAAGCTGAGGTCACCACTCTGAGGTCACTCTGTACTCTCTAATGAAATGTGCATAAAAATACCCATAAACATTTAGAAGAATTTTCAGAAATTGATCAGGGGAATAATTTGAACTGGAATAAAAAAGGTGAAGACTCTAAAATTACAGATTAGGATCTGCACAGCTGTGAGCGTCAGCGCTTTGTCCACTAATCTGTGTGCTGCCAGTATAAACAGAACGAGGTATATCCGTGCCTTTTATCAGCAGCCTGCACAGCAGCACAGGCAGTATTTAGTGGCACAAAATGTGTCCAAGAATGATTAATCTGAGGGTATGAATTACTGAACAATAACACGAAACACAAACAAGCACATGGTGAAACTTTGGCTGTAGCACGAGGCTCTGTTGTGAAATATTTCTGGAGGTTTTTGTGACTGATTTGAATATTTCTTTGGGTAAATATGTTGAAAATGATGTAGTACTCCGGCAGTGTAATTAAAGGCTGTTATATCTGAATGTAGGAAGAGGAAATTCACACAGTGATGAAGAGCGAGCAATGAAGTTATTCTTTGTTAAATGCTCAGAAAAGTGCACAGAGTTTGGTTGGTGGCTGGTTAGAACTTCCTCACGTGGGTGTTTGTGCTGAGGCACTCGTGAGCTCTGTAGTTTTAAAATATGAAGTACAAATACCACAAATACTCAGTCTTGTTTTGAGTCAACAATAGTAGGATCTTTATAAAAAACCAAACAAACACATATAGTATATATATATACTCATGATGAACTGACGCTATATAAATATATAGTGTATATATACAGAATACATATATTCTGTATATATACACACACTCTCCCTCTGTATTTAGAGATATTTAAACATATATATATAATCAATAATACTGCACTGGAGTATTACTAGAGATCTTCTTCCTCCTGTGTTCTGTGCAAATGGAGGGAAAGAGAAAGAAGAAAAGACTTCTGGGTAATAAACTTCTCAGCTGTGTGTGTGTTACTGCAACATATCCCATTTCACTGTCATTGATTATAACAGGGGGGGTGGGGGGGGGGGGGGGTCACACACACAGAACACACAATCTTATTTATTGGCAGTTTTCTGGTCGATCAGATCTGAACCTCAGGTGACACGTTGTTCATCAGATCAACCTTGTTCTTTACTCTGCTCTATTCTACATGTGCGTCTCAGCGTTACATGTAGATGAATCCACGATCGAATGATGATCTAAAACTATTTTTAAAACAGAAACTAAGAGCCAGAACACCAGAGGTCTCACAACACGTTTGACGTGGATCTTTAGCTCTTCTGGTGAACATGGACTGATAACGTTGCACCAGTAGCAAGCCGTCCTGACAGAGCTGAGCTCTGATTGGACGAAGGGCCTGAGAGTCCGAACATGGAGAAAGTTATCGTAGCTCATTAGAGAGTTTCTCCATCCAGGTTTACTGAAGCTCCCCTGTCAGGAAAATCACGTTAGCCACCGAGCTATGACTGACTAA